AGGGAGCCTGCTTCTCCTTCTCCCACTCCCCCTGCTTGTGTTCCCTCTCTCGCTGTGTCTCTCTCTGTCAAATAAATAAATAAGATGTTTAAAAAAAAAAACCATTGAATTCTCTGAAAAGATAACTTCTTTCAGAGAAAAATTTCCTTAAAGGCTCACAAATAGACGTCAGCCTGGGGCCATCAGTCTGAAACGAGAGCACTGTCCGCGATCTATGGTCCAAACATACCAAATACCAAGTGAACTGCCACTAGACAGGCTTGAGGTGAGGCTGAGGGGGAAGCCCAGTCGGGGAGCCATCTGTCTCCCTTTCTTCAGTAGATCCAATAGGAGGGCATCTCCCTCCAGGGCTGTCAATCTGCACTTCCCACCTTAGCAGTGAATTTCTACGGAAGAGACCATCCCTCCCTCTCTGCCATTACTTGTGTGGTTACTGTGAACTCACAAGAGGGATAGTCGGGTTCCGAGAAATCCAGTAACTGTGGATCTTGAGAATCTGGATAGCTGTCTTTTTTACGTTCTCCAAGTTTATAATCCATCAGATCTAGCTCCTTCTGCTGGAGATGTGCCATCTGCTCTTCATATTTCTGCTCCTCTCCCAGTCTCTGGAGGCTCCTCAGGGTTTTTGGCAGGCTGTGCCGGCCATGCCAGCCATATTGATTCTTGGCCACCCGGCTGACCAGATGCAGCGATTCCAGCACATTTACAATGTCATAGATACGTCTCCTTTCAACGCCTGTTTGGAAAATAGAAGTTGACCGTCATCCAGGCAAACATTTTTGAGTAAAAATTCCTTGAGGGTCTGGACCGTGTCTGTAAACTACTTTACATGATGCCCATTATAATGGCCAGCAAGTGCAGTTGCTCTAAAAGTTCAACCTATAAGGATGCAAGCAACAGAAATTATTTTTCTTTCTTATTCTGGGGATCCAACCCTTAACAAGAGCTAGGATAAAACATCCACCCAGACATGGATGAGAGTTCCATCTCTCTTACATAAACAATAGTATGTCTTTTCTTTGGACCTGTTAGGTAAGCCATGCAAACATTTCAGCATGTTAAAACGGGTGGGATTGAACATCACATGTACTAGTGTGTCTAACGGAAGCCTGATGAACACTGTTTGGTTGATTTGGACTTGTATTCCTAATTATGCAGACTATAAAATAAACTGTCCAATGTATGATACCTCATTTGGACAATTCTATCCTTTCCTGGAGTTTGAATGATGTGAAATAATTATCTTGTTAACTCTCTTAATGGCCCAGTTAGGAAAGCAGATGGCAAATATTTTGTTTCCTATTTTGCACTGGAAACTCAGGTGTCAAGAGCTTGGGCACCCTTCTCAAGTTGCTGGAGGAAGCTACAGCCACAGATGAACAACACATGAGTTTCCTTTTGCTCCTCTTGGCCACCGATAACTGTCCCTCTGTTCCCATTCACAGGCGTTTGGCCCAAACAGCCCAGCGATAAAGCACAGAGACTCTTCGTGTCCAATACAGGCTGACCACGGAGTTCATCAATTGTCTACCCACTTTCCCAACTCTCTCAAAATGCCAGGATTATGAGCGGTCTATCACATTTACCAAAAATATGTACAGCAGTTAAGCCCGGGGGCTTGGAGGTCAGACTGCCTGGATTTGAATCAACTCTGCTCTATCCCTTACTAGTTGTGTGATCCTCGGAAGTTACTTCATCTTTCTGTGCCTTAGTATTTATCTCATAAGGTGATGAGGATTAAACGTGGCCATAAACGTAAAGGGTCTACAATAGGGTGTCACTTTTATCTACTGTTTGTGTATTATTCTTAAATACTTCCTGCACAGCATTGGAAATACCCAAAATCCCTGCTAGCATGAGAGGTCACAGTAGAAACAGATTTTAAAACTTTCCTCTGACTCATCCTGTTGTGCAACAGGCCCTTAGGCTTTTGGAACCCACTGGCTCTTTTGCTCTCATCTAAGTCCCCATAGCAAAAGCCTCCAGGCAGCTCCCAGAAAACTGGTCCAGCTACAAAGATGCCCTCTTTCTGCTCACTTGCCAGGAGCTGTTATATAATCAGAGCAGACAGTGAGCGTAGCTTCTGACCCTTCCAAGATTTAATAGAAAAAACTGACCAAATTACGATGAAAACTTTGGAGGTGAAGTAAAGTTCTTTCCTATGCATGAAGACGCATTTCACAGTCAATCAGAACATATCGGCTCCTGACCCTGAAAAGTTCTTCACCCTCAGATGCCTGCTGGAAGGTGCAGCCCCTTGTCCAGATCTGCCTGGCTTTATTCCAGTCTGTTTTCATATATTAACACATCTTGTTTAGAGTGTAACATTCTATAAACCTTCCCATTAGAAATGTCATGTGAATGCAACTGAGACACCCCAGAGCCAGCCATATGCTGGGCTGTTTTGTTATTTTGTATTAGATACAAACTGTTAAATCTCCATCTAGTGGAGAGAGATCCTAAGAAGGGAAAATAAAGGAAGATTCTGACCACTTGGAGGTAAGATGAATGTTTAATATGCACAATGGGCGTTTAATAGGTGGTGCTGATAAAAGCCAATGTGGCAGCTGCCTGCCTAGATAATCATCTTTTCAATCTGGACTGTGTTTAACTGTCTACCAGCTGGTGCACTGAAAAGTTCCATTTCACAGGTCTCCAGATCTTCGGGTTACTCTGGGGCTTGCTCTGTCGGGAAGGTTTTTCCTGGCACCCAGTCTTCTTTCTCTTTTGGATCAACACAATCCTATTAATCCTAGTCATAGCATTAGTTATGTCCCCCCAAGGATTTAGCAGTCATTACCATGCTTTCCTTAGTCCTCGACGGAGCTTATTGAGAACATCTCTCAGCCCAATAAACTCATTTCTAAATCTGTGCTATTGTCCATTTACTAAAGTCACTCCTGGTTCTTTAACTTCTTCTAAAAAAAGATTTTATTTATTTATTTATTTATTAAGAGAAAGTGTGCTCGAGCAGGGGGTGGGGGGCAGAGGGAGAGAATCCCAAGCAGACTCCCCGCTGAGTGCTGAGCCCGACCCAGGTCTCAATCCCACAACCCCGAGATTATGACCTAAGCCGAAATCAAGAGTTGGATGCTTAACTGACTGAGCCACGTAGGTGCCCCTAGTTCTTTAATTTCTTACCTGTAATACCCATGGTCAAAGCTACATGGGACCACAATCTGGGAAATAATGCGATTGAAATGTTCTGAACATTCTAGGTTAACGTATGTTCTTATAGCTTGTGACCTGGGATACAGTAGGGAATTTAGACTCAACCCCAAGAAATAGTTACCCCTGAAATAGCTTCCGAGAAGAGACCCTGTTTTTGAACCTCACAGGAAGAGAGATGATAAGTATATTTTGCAGGTCTGGATGATCATGAGGCATTAGGAAGCTGTTTGCAAAATCTCTGGAATTCTGCTCCAACCAGCCATAACATGGGCATCTGTAGCTCACATGAGAGTAGGAGTCCAGCTTCCTTTCTGAACCCCCAACCCCCAGATCTGTAACATAGCCTTCTGACACCTAATCTTTTGTCTTCACACTAACATCAGTGCAAGGTCCCTGGATGGAAGTTGGTACATGGAGAAAGCTGGCTTCATGAACCCCAGCGAGAAGGACACTGTGTGCTATTGTTTTACCCTCATCCTCTGTAAGACTAGTTTCTAGGACCCTGTGCCTCGAATGGGTGTATCCTAAGCCTCTATCCAACTGGGTCACCTTCCCCTTCTTGTTTCATTGGCACTGATGCCAAATACTGTATTCTACTTCTGGGCTCCCCAACCAAGGCACCATACTTCCTCTTCCTAAAGGTGGAGAGGACAATTTGGGGAGGGCGGAGAGAGATCTAGTAAGAGCCGAGTAGAAACTATTCCACATAACAGTAACAGTTATCCATGCTAGGCCCTGAGTTAGGCATGTCACTGAGATTATCCCCAACTTTGCTAAGTTTCTGCAAGGTAGGTGCTATGATCCTTGTGTTATAGACAGGAAAAGGTTAATTAACTTTTTAAAACTCTCACGGTCTGTAAATTGGAGAGCTGGGCTTCAAATCCAACCCCATCTGACCCAAAGCCCAGCCCATGGTCTTTCTATCACAACTCATTGCTTCCTCATTATCTCCATTTCTGCTAAAAATATTTTTAGCCATCAGTTTGAATAATTCAGATTGACAATCATCTACTGGGGCACATCTCTCAGGGCCATGGGAAGAAAGAGAACCAAAAAAATAAATTAAAAATATAATCTATTATACAGCCTGTTTAGCTGATTATTTCTTTTTTTCTGTATGTACAACCTCCTTATTTTTTAAGGGGACACCCTCTACCTTCAAATACCTGTGATTTCTGCTTATTAAAGATTGTCAACAGTATGTTTACCCTGAGACGAACTGCAATCCATGTCCACTAGGGGTCTCTATTCTGAGGCCACTGTGCGTGTTTACAGCCCATACACCACCGCACATTACACACACCCAAGCCATGTGAACACACGCACTCCTCTTTGTTATAAGGTTTCGCTGTTTGAGTTATGTCCAGATGTGCTTCTCCTCGTTTGGTAGGCTTGCTGTGGATATCACAGTATATGGCTTCAAACATAATGCTCTTGCTCTCAAATCCTGTTTGATCACAGAAATAACACCAGGTCTGAACTCTAGAAGCATTATTAAAAATAAACAGCAAGGCATTTTTAAATGTTTTTTGCCTGTCTGAAATAATCTGAAATTAAAAATGAGATATTAATTTTTAATGAGTCTTTTTTACAAATATTTTATAAGGTCAAAAAAAAAATTTCTGTTTGACCCTCAGGCCCAGAAGACTCCCTGGAATCCTATGCATAAGGATGAGAAATTTGATGACAGGAGGAAGCTCGACTTGCTCCTCTGTTCTTACCATTCAGAGCCCACCCATTACTTAATGAGAAGCTATCTGAAGACTTGGGCCTGCCCGAGGAAACCGGTTTCCCACTGTGACTAGAGATAGGCCTGCAGGTAATCTGATGATACATACCAAGACTGACAGCAACTTCATCTAGGGAGATGGTTGTTTTCTCAGTTGACAAGGGATAACTTGGATAGCGAGCTAGAAACTTCTGGCACAGGAGTCCTAGACTTTTCTGTTTTCTGCTTGGCCTTTGCTTTTCAAATTCGTCCACAGCACTGTCCCCAACCACATCAAGCTACAAAGGGCAGACAAAAGGGAGGGGAGAGATGTCATAGTTAACATCCTAATAGAGAAATTACATGAAAAATGCAAGAGAAATGCATAGAGAAATGAGAGTTATTGGCAAAGTGAGGGGGACATCCCAGTCCGTATCATGCTAGATTCTGCTTAAAATATATTTCCTAATCCAATTTTCTTAATGTTTTACTGATTGTTTTCTTTGGACTGAATTTTTTCTCCTTTGAAACTTGAGGGTGAGTCTTTTGGTTAAAAGCTTAAAAAATGAAAAATGAAGTTGTTAATGGCTTGTTACACCCTTGCTACTAATGTGCTCACTAGATCAGCATCACCAGGAGCTTGTTAGAGACATAGAGTGTCAGGCTGCATCCCAGACCTGATGTATCAGAATCTAGATCTTGGGTGATTGCTACTGACATAGAAGTCTGAGATCCACTGGTCTGCACTGTGTCACCAGTGTTTTATTTTTTACAACTGACCAAGGGTAGATGGAACTGAACAAGGGCAGTTAAGTCTTACTCCTCCTTATTCTTTCTTATTGCAAGTATGCTTAAGTAGTATCCTTGTCTCATCAACCCATATTTGAAAAATGCTCAATTCAAGCCCAAGAAAGTAAAAGGCTTTTCAATGAACAGATTCAAGGAGAAAAGTGATATGATTATCTCAATGGCTTTCAGAAAAAACCTTTGCTAAATTTAATACCCATTCATGATTTTCAAAAATGCCCTTAGAAAACTAGAAATGGAGAACTTCTTTAATAAAAAGTGTATCTATAAAAACCCAACAGCAAACACATGTCTTAATGGGAAAATCTTGGAAGCATTCCCTTAAAATCTGGAAAATGATAAGGATGCCCATTATCACTGTTCCTCTTCAACACCATATTGAAGATCCTAGCCAGTGCATGAGGACAAGAAAAAGAAAGTGAGGCAAGGGATTAGAAAAGAATAAGCAAGACTTTCATTCTGCAGAAGATACGATTGTTTATATATAAAACTCAAAAGTATCTCAGACAAATTATTAAAAATAATAAGCGAATTTGCAAGGTCGCCGTAAAGGCAAAACAATATATCTCAAAAATCACTTGCATTGTCATACAGTAGTAAATGAAATGACAAGACATTATTTACAATAGCAATAAGGATATAACAAATGTTTTTAGGAACAAATCTAGCAAAAATCTATTTGCATAAAATATTAAAACTTAGATCTTAGAGAAATGCACTTAAAACTTAGAGAAATATACTGTCTTCATAGATAGGAGAGCTCAGTACCATAAACAGGTTTATTCTTCTCAAATTAATCTACACGTAATGCAATTCCAATTAAAATCCAGTCTGAAGTATATAAGGAAAAACAAAAGGCAAAGAATAGCCCACATACTCTGAAGCAAAATAAGTTGAGTCTTGCTTTACCTGAAATCAAGGCTTATTACAATCTGGTATTGATGTAGGGATACACAGATTGGCCAATGGAACAAAAGAGAGCCTAGAAAGAGATGACAGAGATAGCCCTGCCAACTTGGGAGAACAAGAAGGACTGAATAAATAGCTCAAGGACAACTGATTACAACAAGCAACTTAAAAAAAGATAAGCACCAGATTGAAATGTAACACATTGAACTGATAAAGGTTTATTTTCAAGACTATAAAATAAACTCTTACATATCAGCATGGAGAAAAAGAACCTAATAAAAATCAGCAAAGAACATGAAGAGACACTTCACAGAGGAGGAAAAAAAATGTGGTGGCCAATAAACATGTGAGAGAGGCTTAGCCTCATTAGCAATCAAGGAAAAACAAATGAATATCACAAAAATACACAACTGCATACCCATTAGATTGGCAGAAATTAATAAATTTGACAGCGTCAAATGTCAGAGAAGATGTGGATCAATAAATGTTCATACATTATTGGTGGGTGAAAATAGCCCTTGGGAAAGCAATTACTTTGTGAATATTTGCATATCCAATGACTTAATAATTTCACTACTAGATGTATACCCTAGAACAGTAGTCCTCAAACTTTTGGGTCATAGAGTCCCTTTATATTCTTAAAAATTACTGAGGAGTATCTTCCTTAAATTGAGTCCTTACTACCTTTGGATAGAATATCTGATCATATAAAATATACTTATCATGTACATAATATTTTTAGCACCCAAAACCAGATTCAGGACATCTTTTTCTCTTCTCCTGTCCCAATTTCTTCATTTTGGTAATTTTTATAGCATAAAAAATCCCCAAGAGGAGGAAAAATGGAGAAATAAGTGACTTTTCTTAGCAAATCTGGAAAGAAGTTTGATGGGAGAGTGAAAATTATTGGCCACTGATTTTTTTTTTTTTAAAGTATAGATATGCTGTTTATTCAATAGCTCTGGTTCCCCAGAGGACAGAAAATTTAAAGATGATTTAACTTTAAGGCCCCAAACCAAAGAATTGAACATCTATAAAAATAATGAAATTTCCCAAGTCTAAAATAAACTATTGCCCTCAAAATCGGAGCAAAATTACAATTTGCAGCAGCATAAAAAAAGTCCAATCTTCTTCATTAAATCAAAATTATTAAATAGTTTTGCTTAAATCATTGTCATTTTTTTTTTTTAAGAACACTGCAAGTTCTTTTTTTTTTTTTTTAAGATTTTATTTATTTATTCATGAGAGACAGAGAGAGAGAGAGAGGCAGAGGGAGAAGCAGGCTCTCCGCAGAGCAGGAAGCCCGATGCGGGACTTGATACCAGGACCCTGGGATCATGACCTGAGCCGAAGGCAGATGCTTAACTGACTGAGCCACCCAGGCGTCCCAATGTCATTTTTAAAATGTGAACTGGGAATAGTCAAGGGAGTAGCATACAGAAGAGAAAAAAGCATTCATTATGAAAAAAATGAGACAGAGTAAGAATTCCATTTCAGCTATAAATAAGATATTAAGTTTTGATATATTTTGATATCTATAAATAGCAGGGATTTGTGGATGAAAGATACTGCCTACCTAAAGGTATTTTACCATTACAGACATTTGACATGCCATTAAATCACCCCAATTGCAAAAAAAAAAAAGAAGACATGAAGTTTAATACTGCTTTTGGCTCAGTAGTAACTGAAGAATTGAGAATTCTATGACTTAAATAATCAAGTAAAAATTTAAAAGTTCTATAAAGCCTGAGGAGTACAGCCTGTTTACCTGCAGAGAGTCTGTAAAGGCATCATCCTTGTTTTCAATGGGTCTGAACAGTCCCTTTTTCTTCTCCCGGTCTCTTATGTCCGGGCTGGCGGCGCTAATGAGCATCTTCAGGTTAGCTGTGGGGGTCCATGGTTCTGCCTGCTGTCTGTCAACAAGCTTAACTGGAGTAATGGGATTTCTTTCTGGAGTGAAGATTTTTTGCTTTGATAAATCAATTGGTTCATTTTTTATTGGAGTCTTCGGGGCCATCCTTGAGCGATCAACAAATATATTTTCCTATTTAAAAAAAAAAAAAGAGACCTTTTAGCAAGAAAGAGAAAGAGCAGGTATAAGCTAAGAGCATTTTGTTCCCATGATTCACCAAGACATGAAGATACAAAGAGACCATATGTTCAGGGCTGAAAAATATCAGGCTAGGACTAATGAAAATAGAAGGATTTGTGGAATCCAAGAGTGGTTCAGCGAGAAAATGATCATCATCTACTGCTTTTTTAAAAATTTTATTTAAGATTTAATTTATTTATTTGAGAGAGAGTGAGCGAGCAGGGGGAGGGCTAAAGGAAGAGGGGGAGAGAGAGAGTCTCAAGTAGACTCCCTGCCAAGTGTGGAGCCTGAGGTGGGGCTTGGTTCCAGGACCCCAAGATCATGACCTGAGCCGAAATCAAGAGCCAGATGCTTAACTGACAGAGCCACCCAGGTGTCCCTCATTTACCTATTTTAAACATACTTCTCATGCATCTCTGTGGACAAAGTCATGAGTGTATCTGTCACTGGTAGATGCTTGTAATAGTTGGGGATGATAAGGGCAACTGTGGGTTGAGTCCATACTGCTTCTTTATTTACAGGTTTGTACTAACTAGTGCAGTACAATTTTGCTTTTGTCGTTCAGTGTTCACCAGTGCTAATACAGCGATTAGTAGTAGGACCAATGGAAAAGTATCCAACAAAATGCCGCATTTCAAACCAACCTGGAGGGCTGTAATTCCCCTAGAGCAGTGCTTCTCAAACTATCCGTGGTGAAGGGCCAGGGTTTTTTATTTCCAAACCCCCATATACTGATACGTGGTTTTACTTCATAGGACTCACATGCAACTTCCACCACCTGTGACTCTCCATTTGCGTTTGTCACTCAAACAACCTACAGTCCGTTCAACAGGAAGAGACCTCTGATCATAGGCTTAGAGCAAATTGCTACAGAGCTTTCCAGTGCTTGACTCTCAAGTTCTGCTCTTAATTTTTTGCAGTTTAGTAATAATTTGTAGACTAGCACGTGCCCCCAGACCACACTTTGAGTAGACCATCTCAGATAATTATAAGAAAAGATCAATGATGGATCCATTATGTTCCTTAGTCCACTATGAAGAGGGACTAAGTATACGAAAGCCACATTTGGAACTACCAAGTAATGAAAACAAGTTTCTTTCCCCGGAAGTAAGGATTTGCCGTCTGAAAATGGAAAGATTCTGCTCTTTCTGCAGCAGAATTCCCCTCCAGGCAATCGTAACTTACATAATGATGAAGGCGGATGCGTTAAACATTTGTCATTCCTTTTCCTATACACGTATCACTCTATAGCAACTGCATGCTTGCATTTTGGCTGGGCAGTGGTTTAAAAAAGGTGCTTTCCTATAAATGAGCAACATATGAAGAGAGGCAAAAAAGATTGGGAGCAACTGGAGTTTGTGTTAGCAGGGCCAACTCTTGTTCCTTGGATCAGCAGAAGCTGCCAGCTGGCCATGGTGAGGCTCTGCCCCAGTGTCACTGGAAGGAAGGGAGGTGGGGACGGGGGTGACAATTTCCCACCACAGCGGCAATAAGCTGCCAGCCTGGAGACTTCATCTACGCACATCTCTTGACACGTCCCTACTAGTGTGCAATTCTGATGAAGTCTTCTACAAGGGAACTCTGAAGGGAAAGTATTGAGTATTTACTATGGTCTACACCCCATTTTATGTACTTTATGTCTGTTAACTCATCCAATCCTGTGACCTAGGTGCTAGTATTTTTCCAGTCTACAGATGAAGAAACTGAGGCACAGAGAGGTTAAATAACTTGCCTGAGGTCACATACGCCCTTCAGTCAGTATAAAAGTCATTGGTATGCAAGAAACAGCGGCCAGGAGATGTTTCTGAAATCCTGCATCTAGAAGTGAGCTTGTCCTGGGTGCAAACCGGGAGGAAGTTATCTTTACCACAGCTTCCACAAAAGGTACCCAGCAGGCCACTGATCCCCACTGGCACCTACGGAGAAGCAGGAAGGGGAAGGAGCTCTGCAGGCAGGCTCTAGGGCCGCTTACCTGCCTCGGCTACTTTGCAGCAGCCTGAGTGGGAGCAAGCTGCTTGTCTTCACCGTATTTTAATTCTCTCCACTGAAAATGAAGTTCATAAACATACCAACCGCAAGGACTATTAGAATACTTCCTGGCACATAGCAAGCTCTCAATAAAACTTAGCTGTTACCTGTTCCCCTTTGTCCCATTCTTTCTTACTGTTCATTCTGGGCACTCAGAGCTAATATGATATAGCACGTCATATTGCTATCTAACTTCTCAGGTGCGTATCTTGACTCATTAATGAGAGTGTGCACTTCCGGAGGTCAGGGAGCAAGTTCCACATGTCTCCGTCCTCACAATTTTTGGCACAATGCCTTCCCCTTACAGATGCTGAAAGAACACGGTGCCTTGATTATCTAGTTTTCCAAAAACCATCCCTTGGCAGAGGGTGTGGCCCAGGCGTGCTGAGGTGGCCAGAGATCCACCCTCCTTCCGTACTGTCTCTAGGGTACCTACCTATTCTCGCAGGAATGATGAGCTCCTACTTTTTCCCTATGGAGGAACAATTTAGATGCGTTATTTCCTCCAACACTACAGTTTAAGTAAAACTTAAAGCAGGAGGGGAGTTAGGTTACCTGCTAGGTTATGACTGTAGCATACCTCCACGAAAAGGAAAAAAAAATGCCATGCAAATTTGCATTCTGAGATCTCAGATGGGCAGAAAGTCAACGGTACTCTAACCAGACCCTGCTTCATCTGTCTGTCTAGCCTGCAGTCCTGACACCGTGCAAGCGGAAGGGGAGTTAGAATTTGGAAATGTGGTTTTTGTCTCAGCTCTGTATCTTTTTGATCCTGGACAAATTGCTTGTTCCGTCTGGGCTCAAGTTTCCTTATCAATAAAATAAGGGGTTCCAACTAAAGTTAACTACCTCCGAGGCTTTCCAGCAAGGCTTCCCAGCTGTGTGGTGGCCACAGGGCTGCACTGAGATCTCTTCAGGAACAAATGACTCAGGATGGCTCTGAGGGGTCATCCTAGAACTTCCAATTGGGTAAAGTCCAGACCTCCCCTGAGACCGTGTTGCAGATCTGCTTCTCCCTCTGTCCAGTTTTGCTGCCTTCCCCTTCCACCCACAGGCCCGGATCCCCAGAGCCCCCCCAACAAACCTCCTGTGCACTGACTCCATGTTGGATCTGCCTGCCAAGAAATCTAAGCTGCAAAGCCCAGGAAGTCACCTCCGCGGTCAGAGAGGGCCTGGGGAGATGTAACCCACGAAACAGGCTCTCCAGTTCTCATATGCAAACGGAGACCACATTGCCTGGCTTACTTGCCACAGAAGTGCTGGGAAGGTGGGATCAGATGAGGAAGGTGAAGGCAGTTTGTAACTTGTGAGTGCTATACAGATGTGTGTGATCATGAAGTACACCAGCACATCGACTCTGCTGTATACTGCCAGAGAAAGGCTTTGTAGTTAGATCTTGGTTCAAGTCCTGCTTGTGTCTCAGATACAGCTTTGATCGTGTTCCCTCAAATAACATATACAATGATCAGCCTTGTCCAGGCCCTTGGCAATATTTTGCCAACTGCTTTTCCAGTTCCATCTCATGCCTATTCCACATTTCGCCCAAACAGTACACTTGCTTTTCTTCAAACTTGCCCTACACCATGACTTTGTCTTTAATGCTATCAGTGAAGCTTTGCCCTTTGAGACCCTACCTATGCTTTAAGCCTAGCTCACTGCAAAGATGACACATCAGGAAGTGTCTCCTAGCGATCGACCGACAACTCTCTTTCCCTTCAGAGCACACTTTCTAGAATGAGTAATCCATACCAACGGCTTTCCCCTGCCCATCTCCCAAGGGTTCCTCAAACCACCAGGCTGTTCTGATCCACTGCTTTTACCTAGGTCACCTCTCATTTGCCAGATCAATAGCAAAACACCTCATTTGACCTCACTGCCGTGGTTGAGACTGTTGACTGTTCTTTGCTCTACGAAACACGCAGCCCTTCTGAAATAGCACACTTTCTCTCTTGGTTCTCTTCCTACTTCTCGGACTATTTCTTCTCAGTCTCCTTCCTTGGTTCCTCTTTTTCTGCTCTTAAAACCTCCACCCTCCACTCCTCTCTGTTCGCTCTCTGGGATAGTTCACCCAATCCCATGTCCATGGCTTTAAAACCAACCTGTATGCTGACAGTTCCCAAGTTCGTATCTGGCTAGGACTTTTCACGAATTCCAAAATCATGCAACCAGTGCCTCCCGCACATATTTATCTACCGATAATCATACAGGAACAAAGATTTAGTCCAAATCTAACTTACCTTTTTTCTTCATCACTCCTAAAAGTCATGGGTGACATTTAAAGAAAACCTGTGCCCACTAAGTCTGGGCATTGTCTCCAAATGTACCTGCTTATTTCTACTCCTTACCAGTTCCCTTCCTCTCCACTTGCTTAAGTTAGCATTCATTCCTTCAAGCCCTTGTGAGGCATTATCTCCTTCACAAAGCACTCTGACAGCTCAATCCTTACTGCTCACCCCTGTGTGCCAAACCATCCATTTTCTTTTGTCCTCCCCAAATGCACTGTAAACAACTTGTTTATTATCTCATAACTGGACTCGGTAAACTTGGGTAATGAAATAGAAAACTCTTATATATTTAAAAAAATTTCTCTGTAAGTAGCAAGAAGGCGCGTGCATAATACAGTACTTACAACTGTTGACAAATGTGCAGAAAGTCAAAAAAGAGAAATCCTCTCAACTCCAGCTGACCCACAAAACACTGTACCAGGCATCCCTCAGAGGGTTTCAAGCAACAATTCAGCACCACTAGCTGTGAATATCTTGAACATTACTCGAATGCCTACACCTCATGTTGTTTCCTCTGCCTACAATGTCCTTCTCGCTCACTCTTGTTTTTTTGTAGGTTGAATGTCCTCAGCCATTGAGGCTTAGCCCAAATGTTACCTCCTCTGTGAAGCTTCCCAAATCTCCCAGAATTCCCTGTGAATTTATTTCTCCCTCCTTTATTTTGCCAAACATTTTGTCCCTGCTCCTACAATGGCACTTACCAAATCACAGTACAGTTGGTTAGTTTTGCATCTGAGACCCTGAAAGTCTCTCAGGTAAGTGAGGGCAGGGCCAACATGTTTGGCTTTGGGTTGTCAGTTCCACTGAGGACAGTGTAAACAGTATGTGTTACTGGGTTACAAACACCTAAAGAGGGAGGTGCTATTTATTAGCTCCAATTTACGGAGGAAAAAAACAGGTTGAAAGAGGTGAGGAAACCTAAACCGCTGTGTCCCAGCACCTGGAACATAATATTTATTGAGTGACTGTATAAATATATTAGTTCAAGGTTACGGAGCTAATAAATGGCAGAGCAGGAAATCAAACCCAGATCTCTGTTACTGCAAATCCCATGTTCTTACCATCCCTAGAAACCCTCCTTCCTTTACTACATTGCAAGGTGAAAAAGACAAAACCCCTCCAGTATCTGGGCAGAAGCACTGTTCTCATTCCTTTCCTTCTCTTTGAGAGGTAAAATCATCTCTGCTCATACATTCCATTTCAAACATTTTAACTGCTTTTCCTGTCTCTTTTGAGTGATTTGAGTTTTTCTCAGCATGCATTAAAATGGGAAAGATCAACTGGACACAGCACTCACTGATGCTAACTAGAGTAGAGTGCCCTTGTGGAAGGCACTTGATAAAAAAATCACTGACCCAGAAGGAAAGAAGTGGACCCTGACTCAGGCTTTATATAAGTGTATACACAATCTTTCAAGGCTATTCCATCCGAATTATAAAGGAAAACAAAAAGTTTTGCTCCGAAACTCTCAAAACCAAAACCCTCAATATACATTTTAAAGTCTGGGCATTTCCACCCTCATATGGCTTAGGTAATTTTTAGGAAGTCCTCTTGGAACCAATAATGTTTTGGTATACTTCTTTTCCTAACAAAAAGTTTCTGAATGCTAGGAACAACAATCTACAAAAAATATACAATTGCACACCTATCCAAAATGAACAGTTGTCAAGTATTCTTCAAAGGTTCACATAACAGGTGCTTTGCAACCAGGCAGTTTCACTGTTGATGCGAAGCCTAAAAATAAGACTAGGAACCTAGAGAAGTTCAATGCCCAAGAAAGTTGCTATGCTCAGATTTGTATGCAAAGCTTCTATATCTGGGTTTGCTCTATCTATTTGGCTTCTGCCTAAAAATGCTTAGACATTCACTAACGAGCTATTGTACCTTTTCAGTAGGGCACTGGCTGGTGAGTGTGGTTGTGCTGATGAGGGTATGGTGATAGTTTAGACATTACTATGGCCACTTTATCTCGTTATGTTTCTTGAAGACTCAACCAAGGTCTTAAAAATCACAAGGGGTGGAAAAAGGGAGGGAAAGGCTTAGTACAAAACCTGCAGTAGCGCTGTTAAATTATTTAGAGTATGCTTAGTGGGCTAAGTCATTTTATCTCCCTATATATGGGAGACACAGGTCATATTTTTGGGTGAATGGAACAGCCACTAGGAGCTGGATCATTGGTACGAAGAACATTTCATAGCTCTTTAATAATCCAGCATTACAGTATAAGGTATAGACCTTATTTCTTGGGAACTAAGGCTTCACGTTCCTGTGCAGCATTAGCTAATTCCACTCTTGACAACTGTAAGTATTATAAACTTTTGATTGCAGTGTCCAGCACATCTTTGATTCATGTAAATTGGTTCCAACATTACATCTAACTTAGCCTCTTTCCACTGCACAATTGTTGAGTGGGAAACTCAACAATAATGGTTTGAATGCCTTCATTGTAAAGAAAGTATATTTCTATAATGTTAATCAAAATTAATTATTACGTTTATAAGGCAAGTACAAGTGTTATGTTGGAACACTTCATTGAATTAGACATCACCATCCTAAATACGTTAGCGCCGTAAGGTATTTAAGTGCACTTACCTTTTGCGCATTCTCCCCATCTTCAATTGCAAAATCTAGTCTGGACTGCCTGGGGTTGATCAGGTCTTTTAGTGTTAAACAATTTACCTCCATCTGTAATGCACAATTACATTAGAAAGTGATTTTACAGTTGGATGTTTTCTCCTCCAACAAAAATATCTATTTATTACCTGCTCATGAACATGAACTTCCCCGACCTAAACTCCTCCTAGGAATTTCCAGGAGTGTAGCCATCCCCCAACTCTAAAATGCACTTGAATGAACACGAGCCCTTAAAGTGTGCTTGGAAATTACTAAAAACCTGGGAAGAAAACAAAAATCGACAAAAATGGTAATTTTTTATGAAAAGCAACAGCACCAGACAAAGTTACCAAGTCAGGAGAGTGTAGGGCAAATCTGTCAGAAAGTACAGGGTCTCCTGGGTCAGTTAATTTTGGCGCAAAGAACTGGGAGGAATTCGGCTTTGAGGGGGTTTTGAATCAGGGGGGAAGGAAACCTGATCGCCAGACCAAACCCACTCAGCTTTTAGCGCAGCCCCTTCCCAGGCCTCCAAGCGGACCCCAAGGATAAACTCTCCCATTGAATCCCCCAGATCTCGAGGAAAGACAAGTCCCTTCTACTGCTCCACGGGAGGGAGAGCTGGAACCAGGACACCCCACGCACGCCTGGTCCGGCCGCAGAAATGCCTCGATCCCCGCCAGCAGGGGAGAGGGGTGGCAGGCTGGCAGCCTGGGCGGGGGTGTCCCCTTTCCCCCCAATTCCCGCCTCCTCGCAGAGCTTAGGGCCGCACGCTACTTACTCCCACTTTGAGAAGGAGGCTTCCTGCCTCTGGGGACCTCCACGACCCCACACCGGCGCGGGACCAGCGGGGCGAGGCGATCAGCAGACGGGCGGCGACATCGGGCGGGGAAAGTGAGGCGCGCAGATCCCCGCTCCGACTGCCCTGAGCTGGCCGGGACCCCGCGGCGTCCGGGCAGCGCCAGCGCTCCAGCCCTGGATCGCAGTCCCCGCTAAAACACCTCCTCTGGCGCCTTGAGACCGAATTTGAGAATCCACCAATCAGCGGCGGCCGGCGGGGCGGCCCCGGCCAATCCCGTGACGGCACGGCCCGGGCTCGCCGCCCCTCGGAGTCTTGGCGCTCCCGGCCGCGCGTTTGGCCCTCACCCGCCCAATTGTTGCCGCCTCAGCCCCCTCCCCCTTCCGGGTACCTGGAAACCTCGAGCACGGGAGCCAATTCCTGCCGGGGACGCGGGCCCGGGCGGCCGCGGGAAGCCAAGGTGGGGGCGGCGTGGGGCGGCGGGAGAAGGAGGAGGAGGGCTCTTTTGTTATGCATAAAAGGCTCGCTCCGGTCCCCTCAGCTTGCCGCGCTGGGAGACCGCGGGCACAGCCAGGGGAGGGGAAAGCAGATGGAGTTTAGAAAAAACGATATACAGACTCTGGACGCCGCTGCCGCCACCCCCTCCCCCTGCAACCTGCGCGGAAGCTAAGTTGTCCAGGCGTGTTGGGGCAAACTTCCTAACACCGCACGCTGGTGTGACACGTGAACCATGGTTACCACTCTGTGCTGCGAGCAGATGGCACGCCAGTTAGTCCTGGAAACTAGACTGCAAGCAGAACCAGCTGTTTTTTCCTTTTCTGTCTTTCCTTTTTGTATTTTTTTTTGTAATTCCGGAAAAGTTTTTTGGTGGTGTTCCTTTTTAAGAACATCGCCAATAATTAAGGGCAAAAAGCCTTATTAAATAATTCTTTGCAACGTGCACCAGCATTCTGGGTAGTCGAGAAAATTTCCTCAACATTACTGATTTGTATTAAATGTTTCACTTCCTTCAACTTTAGTTTCTTATTTGAAATATGAATATTGATAGAGACAGGTGTGTGTGTGTGTGTGTGTGTGTGTGTGCGCGCGCGCGCGCGCGCGCCGCGTGCGGTATTTTAGTAGACTATTGCTTAGAACAGTTTTACATTTACAGGAAAATTGAGAAGATAGGAGGATACAGAGTGCCCCTATGTCCGGCACCCATTTTTAGCTGTTTATTAATACCTTATGTTTGTATGGTACTTTTGTTGGAATTAATGAACCAATAATGATATGTTATTCTTGAACTGAAGTCATTATTCAGATTCCCTTACATTTTTCCTAATGTTTTTCTGTTCCAGAATACCACATTACATTTAGTGTTCATGTCTCCCTAGGCTCCTCTTGGCTGTGACAATTTCTCATACTTCCCTCGTTTTTGCTGGCCTCCATGGTTTTGAGGAATACTGGTAAGTCATTTTGTAGGATGTCCTGCTATTGGGATTTGAGACAGCCTTTTTAAAGCATGTCTA